AAGCTGCATGAATGTGTCGTTGAGGACAAGAGTACCGCTGTTCGTGCGATTGAGCACTGAGCCAGATGGCTGTCAGACGCTAGACTCATTTCCAGCATTTTGATATTGGCTCACGCTTCTGCTTTAGGTCTTCGCTATCTGTGAAAACATACATTACTAGCGGGGAGGGTCTTAGGGATTCATACAATTAGTAACCGGAAAGTCGATAGATTACTAGGATGTATGCTCACCGATCCCCAACGATCTGGACCGCTTCCTCTGTGTTCTCTACCTCAATGATAGGCAGAATAGGACCGAAAATCTCTCTGTATCGAGTATTCTTCGTGAGTCATGATGTTCAATGGCAAAGAACATTGATAGTACTGACTCTTCCATCAACGGATCATCAAGTTTGACATTGGTGACCACAGTAGGCGCGATTCTTCTAAGATTTTCGTCCACCTTTCCACCCAATATGATCTCCCCCTTGGTACGGGCTAAGAGTTTTTCCAGTCGGTTGAAGTGTGCGACATTGACGATCTTGGACCAATTCGATTCAGGGTGGAGCGGGTCGGAAGGGAAGAAGCCTTCATAAGCTTTCTTCACAGCGTCCTTGAACGGAGTAGCAATTGACCTAGGGATAAGGACATAATCCGGCGAGACGCACAGCTGCGTATATGCGTTCAATTCCAGCGCTCGATCTGAGGAATCATCATTCTCACCTGACCCGCGTTCTGGACTTTACCGAACAACAACCTTTTGGCAACCAGTTCCACATCACAGTCCGCGTCGATGACCACAGGGCTTTTACCTCCAAGCTCCAGAGTGAGGGGAGTCAAATTCTTCCCTGCGGCAGCTGCGATTTTACGGCCAATGTTGGTGCCACCAGTGAAGAAGATGTGATTCCACTGGAGTTCAAGGAGCACGGTGGTTTCTTCCACTGCGCCGAGGATGACGGTGTAGGCTGCAGGGTCGAGATATTTGGCTACCAAGGCAGCCATGATAGCTGAACATGTCGGTGTCGACTCAGATGGCTTGAGCACCGCTGGACATCCGGCAGCAATCGCGCCTACCAATGGGCTGAGTGTCAGGATGTACGGGTAGTTCCAGGGTCTGTTCGCCCCAAGGTTCGATTGATTAACGCCACTTCACTCGGGTAGGGGCGTCTGACTTACGAGATGATGAGAGCGACGCCCTTAGGGACGCTATAAACAGTTACGTCCCACGTCTTGCGGAATTCCTCGACCTCTGGCTTCTTCGGCTTGACCCACTCCTCTAAATTTTCTGCAGCATATAGACACGCTTGCACGATCGGGCCAAGCTCAGTGAGTGTACATTCCTGCCTCTGCTTCCCGATGTCGGCAAGCACTGCGTCCTCAATGGCAGGGATGTTCTCCTGTACGAGCCGAGCCAGTTGCAGTAATTGATGTCGTCGATAAGATAGTGTCCTTGTAATCCCTGACTTGAACCCTTTCACCAAGTTCGCATGGATCTGCAGGGGGAACCTCAGCATACTACAAGAGTATCCTGAAGTGCATAACTCGACCTACCTGCTTGATCTCGCTGGGGGAAGTGTATGGCGTATTCTGCGTACTAGTCATGACGGGGTGAGTGGAGGACTGCTTGTATGTTCGTGTACACGTCGAGCTTTATAAGGTTGCGTGCCCCCGCACTTTTTGATGGTGGCTTGGCATTAGTAAGGAAACGCTGCTCCTAGACTAATCACCATTGTTGCAGCCTAAGGATTTCTCTTTACCAAAACTGATACATTGAGGGGTGTTGCGTAGACGCGGGGCGTATCTTCCAGTTGTTCTGATAGCTTCAAAGACTCCGAGTCGGTGATTGTTCGCAGAGGAAATTCCAGATTGCATGGATCAGCCCCATCAGCTTGTGTGGTTCAAAGTCCAATTGGATGTTGCAGACAAGTTTCGGAACTTGGATGGAAAAAGTAGTGGTGCAGGCAAAGCTGGTGCGGAGGAAGGCTAGTCCGAGTCGCGGTGCCCGGCGCGAACACGAGCGGCTATCATCTGCGAGCTTCTCAACTGGCGAAGGTAGGCGTCTACCGTACTTTCGAGAAGCTCAATGAGAGAGGGAGATGACCAACGAGAAGATCAGAGGATTGATAGATATTGTAGCTAAACTTAGAGATGATTGTCGCACACCACTGCGATCAGCATGCTGTGCAATAAACATTCCACGATTGAAGGTAATACAAGGTTCAGTAGGATAGTGGTGACACCTACGTCGAAGACAAAGGGTTGCCACTCATAATCTGAGTAAACATCTGCAGCGCAGCCTGACCATAACTCAGAGAGCCATGCGTGTAAGCTGGGACTTCATGGCCGCTGTATACCAATCAATCAGTGAATAAGCAGATGGCGTTACACCCGACTCGGACAGTACTCACGCTCCAAACACTCGCACGTATGAGAACGTTCCTGCGTTCTTGATCACACCGGTAAGCTGCCCGGCTACGGTCCAGTTCGTGAAAGCTTCAGAATGGAACTGAGTTGTGAACTGGGTCTGGAGATTGTTGACCTGCAAAAGATGATCAATCATGTTCCGCAGTGTGTAAACCCAAGATAGAGCTGACCATAGCTTCGACACCGTTAAAGTTCAAGATGTAATCCTGGGTAAACGGTGAGCACGTAACTGATTAGCCAGAGGGAGCATTATGAACTCACGGCATCTCCATCATACACGACAGTCCTCACACCAGCATTAATCACAGTCTCGAGATCGGGCCTCGAATTTGTCATCCAGTCCCCTGTTTTAGCGAAGTTGTTATACACCGCATTGCTCGTCTCTTCCCAATCGCTTTCGGCGCCGATCGTTGTCTTCAGAGATGAGCTCCCAAGGTACGTGGAAAGATCCGGAGGGTAGGGGTCTGGATCGCGCGCCAGAACATAGTACACGTCGTATGGTCCTACGAGAGGGCTTAGGATGTTGTTATTGCAGAAGGATTGTGCAGCTGAACATGTTGATGTCGCGCCGGTATTGTAGCAAGATTGGATCTGGTCACGACAGCCGCCTGACTTGAAGAATGAATTATTTGCTGTTGTGAGAGTTGAAGATGATACCAAAGCGTGGTACCTGAACAAAGTTGAATGAAGTAAGACGATAGCTGATCGACTACTTACGGGTTGGATGCCGCATAACTGATATAGCCTGGGTATTGGGACAGAGGGTCCTATAACCGATATCGATGAGATCATGCTCAACCGCTCTGATAACTTTACTTACCGTCAGACCATCGCCTACGCCAAGAACCTTCAAGTTGATAGGAACGCCAGAGACCGTTCCGTTTGCGATACCGGCATTTTGCTGTAAGAAATATCTAGAGGATGCATCAGCTGACGACACTGGCCGTTTGGCGCGGAACTTACGCTGCAAAAGTAGGCCCATAGTGCCCCCCGTATGACTCTGTCCAGATAGCGAAGTCGTTCTTTTGGAACTTGCTGAAACGAGTATCAGCAAAGAAGATTTGAAGGAACTGTATATTGAAGTTGTCAGATAACCGTAGCAAAGGAAATATCAAACAGACCTTCCACACATCCGAAGCGGCTTCCTGGGAGGTACCTACGGAGGTTGTACCATGAGAGAAGCCCACGCCCACCGGTTGATCAATGTATAGACTACGAATCCAAAATATTTGAGAAGGGGATAAATTGATCGCAGGCGAGAAACCTACACATTAGCGACATTGTTCCATGAATTGGGATTCAGGCTAACAGTTTCACTATCATTGCTGATCCGACACGGTCCGTTCTCCTGGAATAGTCCGAGCATACTGGAACTTCCAGGCTGTAGATATGTTAGTGTATTCTTTATTAAGGATGCTCGAGGCACATACCCCACCGTTCAGCCAGATAGCGAGCGGAGCTGTAGCAGAGTTCTGGCGTGCAGCGAAAAACCAAAACCTGACAGTTGGAATATAAGGAATAGACAACCGCCAACGATATTGAATAAATCATACCATATGCTCTCCGAAGATGTCAGATCGCCATAGCCTGAGGCCTGGTACACACCCGGGGTGGTCTCGCAGACCCCACTATTCTCAATCACCCGAAGTTTTCCTGGGGTGGTAGCGGCAGGCGAGACAGAGGTCTCAACTATAACAGACTCCGTGTCGCGGGGAACACCTCCGATGACCCCATCGATGACTGGGATCTGACGTGCGAGGATATGGAGAGCCGGAAGCAACGCATATAACGCGACAAACGTCGCAGAGATCGGACGCATGGTCGCTGGAGGGGCGACAGACGAAGCTCGAGAGCTCAGAGGTCTGCTCGAGGCCGTTATGGGGCTTTAAGTAGCCTGGAGAAACTGGAATGGAAAAGACGGCGAGGCCTCAACCGCATGGCTTAACGATGGAACGCCTGTATATTGCTGTTCGCGATATCCTGTTGCACAAGTGGCTGCACCAAGCGTTACACAGACAACGTGGGGCAGCTGATTTACATGTACCGTTCGGTAGCTTCTGTAATGCAACCGGCCTTCTATCTTGCTATACCACATGCTGCAGACTTTATGAGAATGCAGATAGAGTCTTCGTTATGGACTACACCATACGATTCATTCCAGCTGACATCGAAGATTTCTGGATGATCATTATTCGGAGGTGATTGTGCTGCCGCTGGATGCCTTCCATGTTGGCGTCCGGGTGGTCTCGGGGCATCGATAGCCTCAAGTGCAATGGGGCCTCATCTTGAAACATTAGCAACCGGCGAGGTTGTGGTACGTGTCGCTTTCGGTGACAGGTAAAAAGTGGGTCACTCTCAACCGAGGTCGTTGGGCACATTCAAGAAAGCGGAAGTCAAGGAACAACTTGTCCTGCGCTACTTAGAACTTGGGCGATGATTGGACTACGGAGAAATCCGAGACATTAATCCTAAATAATAATGTAAAAGGGCATCGACCTGCAACAACTCTTTCTCTTTATTTACGGCGAGAGTGTAAAACTAAAATAAAGGGTTTCAGAGCCTTGGTGCTAAGTAGATGAAATATTTCAAAAAACTAAATGCCAAGAGGGTGGTTCGAACACCCGGCCTTCAGAAAGCGCTTAAATATTGGTGTTTAAGTACTCTTCAGTCTGCTGCTCTCCCAACTGAGCTATCTCGGCGATACAAATTAGTGGTGGGTTTTTTATCATTCTTGTTTTTTGACATTACAACAACGACTCCAAGCTCTTGCTGTTTTTTGCAGCATATTTGCCACCAATGTGGGTATGTCGTAGTCTTGTTCCCAGATGTCCTACAAATGACTATGCGGAACAAGCCGGTCAGAGAACAAAAAATGTTGGCTTGCATAGTTCGTAGGATGTCTGGTGAACTTTGGTGAGAGAGATGTGGATGGCTTGCACGTGACCGCCAAAATCCCTGTTGCAGCATCTACAACGTCACACACAGCATGGATCTCTTTAATAATTGAATAGAATTTGTTAGTAAAATACATCTGAGCATAGTAAAAAGAATTGAGCAAATATTATGCCAAACTGCATCTTTGAGATGCTTGGGAATCCTAGATACATCCCAGACGTATTCCATTGCTTTTATCCATAAAACATACATGATAATTATATATATAGCAAACAGATTACCTGGCAAACAGATTTCATCTGTGAAACAAAGCGCTTGGATGAAATATCAAGTGTGCACGGGCAGTTGGCAACACAAGCAGCACTCTCTAGCAGGTGTCACGTGCAATCCACCCACATCTGCTTGACCGAAACACACCTGACATTCCATAACTAGTCTCATTCCCAGCCGTTCAGAGCTTGCACTGGATATCTGTGGGGATTTTTAGCTACAATAAAACTTGAAAATAAGTTGAAAAGAGTATAAACTTTATTCACAATTTTCAATATAAAACTTTGGTAAAAATTCACACGAACTTTCTAGTTTTATCTGATGATATTTTGTGATAAATGTAAGATATTTTTGACTCAAAATATGCTTTAAATTTTGTCTTAGCTTGTCTACCCTAAAATCTTATTACAACTTTAGCAAAAAATCTATCAAAGTAATGTTTTGATCAGATTTCCTTCAGTTTTTACAAACATCTTGCACAAGAAAAGTATAGATAAGATTTAAAGCATATGTTGAGTCAAAAATATCTTAGATTTGTCACAACATATCATCAGATAAAATCAGGAAGTTTTTCTGAATTTTTACCAGAATTTTATATTGAAAATTATGAATAAAGGTTATACT